GGGAAAGTAATTAGAATGATCCTCAGATGTTTGCACTTAATCATTGTGGTGCTGGGGACTCATATCTAAATGGTAAAGCACTTGCTTGACGTGTAAGAGACACCAGGTTCAATCCCTAGTACCAAAGGAAGGAAGGGAGGGAGGGAGAGAGGGAGGGTGGAAGTTTGCTTCTAAAAAAGAACTCATGAGTCAAAGAAGAAATTGCAGTGGAAAATATAATAAGTGTTTGATTGAATGTTGATAAAATATGACATATTAAAATTTGTCTGAAGCAACTGAGCCATGTTGTAGGGAAATTTGTGACCATAAATGCAGAAAATAGGGGCTGGGGATGTGGCTCAAGCGGTAGCACGCTCACCTGGCATGCATGGGGTGCTGGGTTCAATCCTCAGCACCATATAAAAAAATAAAGATGTTGTGTCCACCGAAAACTAAAAAATAAATAAATATTTTTTAAAAATTCTCTCTCTCTTAAAAAAATGCAGAAAATATAGAAATTAATGTTCTAAGCATTTCTTTCAAATAACAAGCTAAATCCAGTGAAACAAATACAGATCATAAGTGAATTCCTTGGAAAACACACACTTGAAAAAAAAGAACAAATCACAGAGTTGTTTCTTTAATAAGACTAATTGAATTAACTTGATCTGCTGATAAGAAGAAACATTCAATATTAGGAATGAAAAATAAGAAATATCACTAAAAAGCATATACACATTAAAAATAATAAATACAAAGAAAAAGAAAGTAGACTAGTGTTTACCAAAGGTTGTGGGGAGGAGAAAAGGATAGTTGTTTAATGAGTGTAGAGTTTTGAGATTTGTAAGATGAAAAAGTTCTGGAAATTTATTTTATAACAATGTGAATGTACTTACCGTTACTGAACTGTACACTTAAAAATGGTCAAGATGGCAAATTTTATGTTATGTACTTTTTGCCACAAGGAAAAATAATAATGATGAAAGAATGTTATGAGACCTTGACCGTAAAGTATAAAAATTAGCTGAAGTTCACAAATTCCTTGAAAAAACACAAATATCAAAATTTATATAAGAAGAAATAGGAAGTCTGAATTCTCCCACATCTAGGCAATAAATTAGACCAATCATTTAAAATACTTACTCAAAGAAGGCCTGCATGGTTTCACTGGAGAATTCTTTCTAACATTTAAGAAAGAAATAACACTACTCTTACGCAAATTTTTCTGGACAGAAGAAAGTTACCCAAATCCTTCTATGAAATTAGCATAGCATTAACACCAAATCATTACAGGGACATTCCAAGAAAGGAAAATTGTAAGTTAATTTAGCTTATGATATAGATGGAAATGATTGCCTGAATAAAACTGATGGTATGTGGGGAAGGAAAACATTACAACCAAATTGAAACTTATTAAAAAATGCAAGGTTAATGACTTTTCTCTCCAAGAGGACCAAACTCTCTCAGTTGAGAGTTTCTTTCCCCTTCTAATAAACTTTGCTATACTTAAAAAAAAATGCAAGGTTGAAAATCTGTGTGATTCACTGATTCACTTTTATTGACAGATTAACAGGAAAGTCATATAGATATAGAAAAATCATTTGCAAAAATTCAACACCTGTTCCTGGTTTTTAAAAAGGAACTTTTAGGTAGAGGTTCGGTGGACATCTGTAATCCACCTACTCAGGAGGCTAAGGCAGGAGGATCACAAGTTTGAGTCTAACCATGACATCTTAACAAGACCTTGTCTCAAAATAAAAAATAAAAAGGGGTGGAATGTAGTTCAGTGGTAAAGTACCCATGGATTCAATTGCCAGTACCAAAAACAAAACAAAACAAAAAAAACTTTTTAACAAACTAGGAAAAACAAGACTTTTTTTTTAAGATGTTAATGGATCTTTATTTTATTCATTTATTTATATGTGGGGCTGAGAATTGAACCCAGTGCCTCGCACATGCTAGGCAGTTGCTCTACCACTGAGCCACAACCCCAGCCCAAGACTTTTCTTAATAATGGGCATTTTTCAAAATCAGAGCAGACATCATACTTAATGGGTCAAGTATTAGAAACATTTTCCCTGAGATTGTAAATGAGAATACCTGCTGTGTGACTGAAAGTTGTATTTCCATATACCAAAATAAGCAATTAAAAGTGAAATATTTAGGGGCTGGGGTTGTGGCTCAGTGGTAGAGTGCTCGCCTAGCATATGTGAGGCTTTGGGTTTGATCCTCAGCACTACATAAAAATAAATAAATAAAACAAAGGTATTGTGTCCAACTACAACTAAAAAATAAATATTTTTTAAAAGTGAAATATTCAAAAAGTTAGCATTTTGAAAAAGCATCAAATGAATGCCGTATGAGGAATATATCTAAGAGAAGATATGTAAGACTTCTATAAGAAAACTAGTATACATTATTGGGAAAAATTAAAGATCACCTAAATAAGTTTGTATAATAGGTTAACAAATTGGAAGATCTATTGTAAATGTTTATTTTACCCTAGATTCGCAGTAAATTCCCTGCAGTTTCAGTCGTATCACAGTAGAGAAGTATATATGTTAACTTCTCAAACTGATTCTAGAATTAATATAGAAAAAGGTCAGGAATAACAAAACAATGTCAACCACCACCCCCACACTGCCCGTGGTACTGGGGATTGAACTCAGTATCTCACACATGCTGGGTAAGCAAAGCACTGAGCTATATCCCTAGCCCTGTTTTATTTTATCTTATTTTATTTTGAGACAAAGTCTTAGTAAATTGCTCAGGCGGGCCTCCAACTTGCAATCCTCCTTCCTCAGCCTTCTGTGTATCTAGGATAAGACAGTCTTGAAGAATAATAAAGCAGAAGGACTCAAAGAACTATAAATCAATATTATTTATAAAGCTACAGTAATAAAGACAGGTATTGATCCAAGGATGAACAGATAATAATCTGTCTTAATAGAACAGATTATAGTTCAAAAAACCACACATAAGTATGTACAACTAACTCATGAAGCACTCATGTAGCACTACATGGCAATGGGGATAAGGATAGTTTTTTGTTGTTTTTCATTTTTTGTTGTTATTGTTTTTTACTAGAAATTGAATCTGGGGCACTTTACCTCTGAGCTATATCCCCAGTCCTTTTTTTTTTTTTTTGTAGATGGGCACAATACCTTTATTCTATTTGTTTATTTTTATGTGATGCTAGGGATCAAACCCAGTGCTTCATGCATGCTAAGCAAGCACTTTACCACTGAGCCACAACCTCAGCCATCCCCAGTCCTTTTTTATTTTTTATTTTGAGACAGGGCTTCACTTAGTTACTGCTAAGGATCTTATTAAGTTGCCAAGTCTGTAATCCTCCTGCCTCAGCCTTGCAAGTAGCTGGGATTACAGGCATAGCCTAGCTAAGGACAGACTTTAAAAGATGTTTCTGGGTCATCTTAATTTCTATACAAAAAAAGTTAGTTTTAATTCCTACTTTACACTCTATTCACAAATTAACTTGAAATGGACAATATATTTAAATGTGAAAGGTAGCTGAGCACAGTGGTATGTGCCTGTAATCCCAGTGACTTGGGAGGCTAAGACAAAAGGATCACAAACTGTTGGGGATGTTGCTCAGTGGTTAAGTGCCCTTGGGCTCAATTTCTGATACCAAATAAAAAATGTGGCTTCTAAAAGATAAAATAGGTATCTTCAAACTGTTTAGTTTTTGGTAAAGAGATAGGCAGAGAGTTCTTTAAATAGGACTCAGAAGTACATGAACCATAAGATAGTTAAGTTGGTCTACACTAAAATTAAGAAATTCAAGATCACTGCAATATTTATAATTCACCAAGAATTCATTCAGAATAAAGATTTAAGGAAAAAACACAACCTGATAGGAAGATGAGGAAAAGAAATAAGTAGACATTTCAGGATGAACCATATACACAAATAGCCTAAAACCATATGAAAAGTGTTCTTCCTATTTAGTTATCAAGGGAAGGTAAATTAAAACCACAATGAAATACCATTACATACCTACAAGAAGTGCTAAAATGAATAACAAAACATCAGATATTGGAACCAATATAGAATGAATGAAACTCTAACTTATTGGTGGCAGTAAAAAATTGATAACTTTGGAATACTGCCAGTGTGATGAAGCTGTATATACATACCCTGAAACCCAACCATTCAATTCTTAGGCATAACCCAAGAAAGCTGCATTCCCATGAATGCAGAAGATACACACAAGTCTGGTGTAATGATTCATACCTGTAATCCAAGCAGACTCTGGAGGTTGAGGCAGGAGGATCACAAATTTGAGGTCAGTCTCAGCATCTTAGCCAGGCCCTGTCTCAAAATTATATATAAAGAGTTGGGGATGTAGCCCAGTGATAAAGTGCTCCTAGGTTCAACCCCCAGTAACTTAAGGGGGAAAAAAGATACAAGAATATTTCCAGCAGCAATGTTCAAAGTAGCTCCCTGATAGATTACATACCATGAATGTCACAACATAGCATTTTCTCAAAGAATTTAGGCAGAAGAGTATATGATGTGTTTCCAATTATGTAAAATTTAAAATAGACAAAGCTAAACTGTGTGTGAGTAGTCTGGTTCTGGTTTCTCCAGGGGAGGGGAGAGGGCACGATGTGATCGGGGGTCACCTGAGGGACTCATGGAGTGCCATTAATGTTCTTTTTCTTGATCCAGCTATGATTTCATGAGTGTGCACTCTGTGGAGCTTACAGTCTGTACACTTCTCTGTATATTGGTCATACCTCTCTTATGAGTTTACTTAAGAGCTCTGTGTCACCAATAACAATAACTTTTTAAAAATCATTTGGTCAGGAAACGGTATTTTTCCAGGTATCAAACAATATCTTGTCCTTCCTTGGCAAGCCAGCATTATGCCTTTCTCTGAAATTCAGCTGCTTGAATGTTTTTCTCTTGGTGTTATATTTTTCACAAGAAAACTAGTTAACAGCTCTCAGTTACTGGTTTAGGTTCTGACCCTTTTTTAAAATGTTTTTACTTTTATATTTTGGTACTGGGGTTTGAACCCAGGGCCTCATGCATGCTAAGCATACACTCTACCACTGAGCTATAGCCCCAAACTCCATTCTGACTGTGTTTGAAGGGTTTGTTTGGGGGGTGGGGGGGTAAGGGGTGGTGGCACTTGACAAAGATTTGCTGTCATCTGATCACTACCCTACCAGAAAAATGTCATTTCTACTTCTGATGGCTTTAATTCTTCCTGTATACCAGAAATCCTCCTTATCATTAGCATTTTTTTTAATAATTCCCTCTTTGGTACTGTTGGATCATGCAAATCCATCTGAGGTCAGAGACTTAGTTGTCAAGAGGTCAAACATCTGTATTTTACCTGGGGCCTTCCCCCTCAAGAGCTGCTTTGTACAGACAGCACACATCTTCGAATTCACCCTAGTTTTTTTTTTTTTACAAGCAGAAAAAAAAATATTTTAAACATAATAAAGTTGAACAAGAAAATAGTGGTCCTACAAATTCATTTGTTAGTATGAACCTACAACCTTCCTTTCCTCCCTGCCCATCACACCATTTGTAAAATAAGAACAAGGTTGAAGAACTTAAAATATCCTATGTCAAGACATAAGGCTCCATTAGTGTAGTTTTCATGTGGTGGTAAAGCACTTTACTTGCATGAATTCCATATTTTAAAAATCATTTAAAAAATGAATGCAAGGACTTAATTAACCAATAATGTAATTTAAAACGTTCAAATCTATTATCAGAGCCTCAAAATCACCACATAAATCACCAAGTCAGCCCATCTGATGAAGAGGCTCTGCTTACCCACACCCCCATAGTCAGCTGAGAACAATTGCTTAGAGAGGAAAGGTTAGGTAGGCAGGGTAGGGTACGAATTCTCCATAGGAAGAAGTATTCAAATGTGTAAGAGAAATCTTCAAGAGCCCCAGGCAGCTTTTATTTTGAAGAGCTACAGCAGTAAATTACTGGGGGATCCAAACATGGGAACATACATATTTAAAGTGTGCTTACAGGGCTGAGGAAGTAGCTCAGTGGTAGAGCACTTGTCTAACATCCTCAAGGTCCTGGATTCAATCCCAACACCACAAAAAATGAACTTACATGAAGTACTCTTACATTGAAGAATACATGCATTCTTTTTCTTTCTGTAATAATAAGAGGTCAATATGAAGGAGACATTTGAGAAAGTGAAGGATTTCAAAGATAATCCGCATTCTTTCCTCCGAAGCCGGGTGAGAAATGGAAGCTGATGACCTGTACTAAGTCTGTTTTTATTGTTCCTTTTTCAGGTGGTCACTTCTTTCACCGAAATTCCTTGTCCCCTCGAAGCCTGGTGTATGAAAGCGAATTCTCCACAATTGAACCTTCTTTGGACATGTATGATGAGAACAAAACCTGATTTTTTTTAAATGGGCTATTAGGGGTCACTTCTTTTGTGATTTGATTTATGATCACCTTTCTTATTTTGTATTCTTCTCAGTGTCCATTTTGGAAGAATGATAGTGCTTCCAAGCACAGTTTGGGGTTCAGGGTTAAATTGCAAAGTTCCCCAAAGTGAGGCTTTGAGAACAGCATTATTGCCCAGGTGAGCCTTGTGGTATTGAATGCCTGCCCAAAGTTGGCCACTGAACATGGGCACCCAACAGGCCTGGCCATTTCCAGAGAAGAGGCAGGAGTCAGGGGTTAAGGTTGCATTGCAAACATGTCCCTGAATAATCACATGCTATTCTGTGTTGGGGTGGCATTGTTTTTTTTTTTGTGTGTGTGTGTGGTTGTTTTTTTTTTTTTTAATATTTTTTGTGATCCTCACTTACAATGCATACTAAAGCCTGCAAGTGAAGCTTCCTACCAATGCAGAGCACGAGTCACAGCTCCTTGACATACTCTATTTTGTCCTCTGTTTCTATTCTACTTCCTGTTAAAGGGCCTCTTTCTTTAGGGAATTGAGAGAAAGCCTTGTGTTTTGTACCTCACCTAAGACTCTAACCAACCCATTTCCCAACAGAGCTCTGCCTCAGGAGATACAGGCCATGGGGCCAGGGTCTCTTTGTGGTGGTGACAGTCAGTCATCTGCTTGGTCATTTTCCAGCATCTGTGTTGAGCATGACATAAGGTGACAAGTGTTTATGTAGCTACTAAACATTGAAGCCCCCCTAGTCTCAACAGCCTATGGACCTGTCCACTTGCCAACCCTGAGGTGTGGGGAAGTAGCACAAGAGAGCCTGGCAGTCCTCCCAGGCACACTGACCTCAAGAGGCACAGCCAGTGGTTGTCAACATCCGAACGATTTTGAATGTTTTACTAAGAAGATAAAACAACCTTCCTGCTGCTAGATCTCAGATGAGGACTCTTCTTCAGTCTTCATTGGTCCAGCCCAAACCCTTCCCTCCAGCTTCAGAGCCAGCATGAGGAAGGCACTGGAGCGTCAGCAGCCAGGCATACAGAAAAGGATGTGGCAGCCAGCATGGTGGGCATCGTGAACACACATGCTCTTCCTACACACACAGGATGAGAAAGTTGTATCTTATGAGTAATCCCAGCACGGAACCAAAATAGCAAATTTATAAAACAAATCTACACCTCCTTTTTGCAAAAGGTCACGCCATAGTTCAGTCTTCTGCTGCTTATTCATATGAGCTGTAGAAGGTATAAAGGCATTCAGATCCTTATTATGAGACTGGCAACTTTCATTTCCAGATTCCTTGGATTTGACAGCAAACCAAGCCGGCATACAAATCCCTGCCCTGTTATTTGTATTTGCTCTTATGTAGAACACAAGTTTGAAATGAACACTTGCCATCTTTGCACATGTGGCTTCTCTTTAACAGCGTCTTTCTTGTAACATGTCACTAAGACACTTAAGACATAGGTGTACCCAAAACAAAAGAGAACTTCAGAGAACCAGGATGGTGACAGCTTTTAAGAATGCTACAGCAGGGTGAGCAGCAGCATTTTGTTTTAATAATTTGAGACTGGAACAGGGCAGATCTTTAAGGTCTAAACTAATTTTGCTTTTTACTGCTTACCAAGGGCTTTAGTTTGTTTTCCTTTTTATAGTCTTTGTACTATAAAAATATTTTTGATAAACAGTTTCAAGAGAGTGTCTTTCAGAAGACAGGTTTGCCTCACTGATTCTCAGTGAGAACGTGTCTCAGTCTGCCAGAGCTCCAGATGTGCACCTGTATTTGTGTTTGGTTTGGCTCACTGTACAGATAAGATAACTCGGTTCTGATTATTGCCATGTTATCTGTACCATGACCTTGGTTTCCCCAAATCAAAACTCAGATCCTGACATAGCATTTTCTTCTCATCTGTGCCATCTTATAAAGACATATATGCTAAACTCTGCTCAAAACAGTTTCTTTACTAAAAAGGAATGAAATTGCTTGAGGAGAAATTTTTAAATTGTGTCCTTTAAAATCTATTGATTAAATATTTGAATTTCTGAGAAGTCTGGAGCACATGTTCACTATAGAATAGCCAAGGAAGCATTTCTTACAAGGGTATTTACTCAGAACGGTGCTCCAGATCCCAACTTGACACCCTTTTCTGAAAATCCAGGCCACCTTCCAGCTCAGCTATAGAATGGCCTGTCTTTGTCAGAAGGGACACTGATTTCTTCATCAAGGACATGTACTTCGGGAATAGAGAATGGCATTTTTTATCCCAGATAACAGTCTCCCTTCCAGCGGCTGTGCTGCCAGGACTCCTTGCTGAGCCACTCCCGGGACCTTGACAGGGAGCCAAGACTGCTGTGTTTGCTTGCTGTGCCAGCTTGGTGAGGGCACGCTTGTCAGCTGGTGCCTCTGATTCTGAGCAGCTCAGGAAGCAGAGAGCAGCTTCTTCTGTGACAGGTGAGTGTCTTGGTTGCTACAAGTCTTACCACCAGTTGTGGTTATTAGTCAGGAAATATGATTTCTCATTTTATCTGGTGGTGGTGGAGAAGCTATTTGAAGAAGGGAAAGAGCCAAAGAGTGAGCTATTTACACTACAAACCTTCCATACCTCCAATGGACTGTTTTGAGCTAGGCCTGTTGCCAGCCTCTTCTCCTGGACCACTTGCACCCTGATCCGCAGGCAGAGCAGAAACTTTGGCATGTGGAGTAGGGCTGGGAGCAGTCAGAGCGTCATCAGCTAGGAATCAGGTTATGATAGTAAAAATGCAAAGGCATAAGCTTTTTGCATCTTTACTGTCCTTAGGGAGGAACTTCTCAAAGCCCTCCTTTCCTCCTATTTCAGGATCAGGAGAGAAGGGGCTGATGTGGAAGGCCAGGTTTGAGATATAGTGGAGCATATCCATCCAGGGCCCCACATCTGCTCCCCTCTCAGGGAGACAATATCCACAATCAGGCAATTAAAACTCCTCACAAGATCTTGTGAGCTTTTCTTTTAAAGCTAGACTTCATCTCTTCACTGCTTTGCTCCATCAACTAGTTCCTCTGGTGGTTTTCAGGCCTGGTCAGGAGGGTCATCCATGAGGCACTTCTGTGAACACTGGACTAACCCTGTGGCTAAAGCTGCACTCACCAACTTCCTTTATGCCACAATAGTCCCAGCTGCCAAAATATGGAGTGGGGAAGGTATTAAAATAAGATTACTGAGTTTTACTTACTTGACTAATGTCCTGTGGGCTTTATAACCCCTCACATCCAATGCTTTCATTGATCTACATGCCAAACAACACTGGTTTTAACTGAAGAAAAACCAGCATGTTCTCTTGCTATTAACCTTTACTTGCTTGGGCAGTGTTCTGCTGTAGGAAAGCAAGGAGGCATGTTTGAGTCAGGAACTGCTCTCACAAGTGGTTGTTGCTTATAGATGTCATTGAACAAAAATGCTGATTTTAAGAATGTAGCATTTAGAAGAAAAAAAGTAAGACTACAAAGGTTCACAGACCTTTACTAAATTCTCACTGTGTGCCTAACACATATACTTTGAATTGAAGTGGACTCAGTGATCATGAAGATTCAGAGGGTTTGGGGTGTAGCTAAGTGGTAGAGCATGTGATTAGCATGCACAAGTCCCTAGGTTCAATCCCCAACACCAGAACAAAAACAAAAAAGTAAAGTTTTGGTTGTTTCAGAAAACTGGCACATCAACAAGCAAGTAAGATGAAAGAGCAAGTGAAATGAGGCTCAGTGTTTTGAAGAGGAACAGGGGCTCAGATGAAGGGTATAGCACTGCTGCCTTGAAAACCCTGAACAGAAGGGCCAGGTGAAGGCTGAGAAGCTGAGGCAGTGGCTAGGAAGATGGGGTTGCACTTCCTGGGCCCCCAAATCTTTGCTTGGTGAGGGCTTGACTCCAGTCTCTGGAAAGAGAATGAGCTGCTTGGGGGGAGGAAAGTATATGGGCAGCAGAGTGGCCTGGAGTACTAAGGCCTGCCTCTAAGAGGCCATGTCCAAGGAAAGGACTTTCCCAATTAACCCACAGACGTGGGATTAACTGAAAGTAGGAATCAAAGGAAGGAGCCATAGGAAGAAGTGGAAGCCTGAGTTTCCAATCTCAGTGAGTGGATTGGTATTAGACCCAGGGAAAGTCCTTTTTGAGTCACTTTAGGGCAGGGTGCCTAGAAGGAGGCATGGAGATACTGGGCTAATCTCAGGCAGAGGTTTGCTGAGGGAATAGTGATCAGGTTTGGCTCCTCCTGCATCAGAATTCCTGTGAAGCCATGTTTTAAATACACATGCCACCTAGCCCTACCGAAGTTGTCTCCATGTAATCACAATATCTTGGGTGCCCCCTATTTTCCCTCACCCCTGCCCCATGCAGAGGTTTGTACACTAGACACATGCACACACAGACACCCTCACTAGAGGGTACACTCAGTTCAGATGATGGTGGCAGCCAAATGGGCTGGAATTACCCTGTGACACAAAAACCAGGCTTGCGATAAAAACCCTGGGGACACTGACATTCAAGATATGGACAGAAGGTGCTACTGAAGTCAACCAGTTTAGAAAACCCTTTGAATGTAATTTCCCTTTCCAAAAAAGGCAGAATGACTGGCTCTCATTCTCATCTTCAGTGTCACCCAAAGCCAAAGTGTAATGTGGTTAAACTCAATCTTTGCTCCCATTCTCAGGCAGCACAGGGAGATAATTGAAAGGGATCAGTATCACAGTGTATCCTGACACCACAGCTGAAAATAAGTGCCTTCCCTCAGCAGATCCTGATAAGGGCAATTGTTACAAGTTAGATGTATGGAGTTTTGTCCTTTATTTTGACCTTGTGGGTACATCATTCCAAAGATTTGACACACCATCATGTTATCCCTTTGGGGAAAGAATAATCTGGGATGTGGTTAAGATCCTTACAAAAGACTGGGAAACGCCATATGGATTTTAAACATAGTAACATCAGAGAAAAGACAGGAGGAAGTTGGTGGGGGTAAGATGCCTGCATTTTTCTGTCTATATGGAATTGTGTTTTCCTAACTACTCTGTGAAACTTCAGGGAAAGCAAATCATGATGGAGCCCCTGAGCTGATGAGTTGGGGAAAGTTTTACCAGCCTCCTGGAGCCTGTCTGAAGGGGGCTGAAGTTGGGGGATCAGGAGGCCCCCTGTAGTCCTGAAGCTCCTCCAAGGCATTGATGGAGTTGAGAAGTTTTCCTCTCTCTTATGGGTGTCCAGGGTTATCCCAGCAAACTGAACCTCAAAAAAGAGGGGCTGAGCGGGCCTCCAGCAGGTGTGGAATAAAAGCAGTCCCCTACATTTTCCAGAACTGTGACCCTACTAGCCCAAAGTGACTGTGGAGTGGGAGGGAGCCATCAGCTTCAACCACTGAAAGAACAACCCTTTTACATCTAAGAAATGTATGGAAGACCCCCCTTAGGGACCACCTGGCCCATCACATGGGTTTTCCCTCCTACAGTTCACCTTAGGCTGCAGTCATTTTTCTGTTTTCTTCACTCAAACTTGGGGAAGAAGGGAAACGCTTTAGTACAAAAAGGTAAAAGTCTTTGAACCTCATACAGCTTGATTATTAAACCTTCAGAAAGGTTCATTGCTGCTGAAGTTGCTCAGGCCTCTGCCCTGGGCTCTCTGAGCTCTGCCTGCTAACTCCTCCATATGCACATATTACAAAGGATTGGGACTGGAGGTGTCATAGACCCCAGAGCCAAGGATGTGGCTGGGCACTTCTGTAAGCCACACACATCCTCCTGTGGAAAAGCCGGGAGCAGGAAGCCATCGTCAGCACACTTCTCTCAGCTCTGATGTCCATCCCCTGGGACACTTCACCAACTCATTTCTTACCAGTCCACTTACCTCCACTCGTGGGGTAGTCACGTGCATAGGGAACATATATGTTGGTCACCTGGCAAGTCTAACTTGGCTTTCATCAGTTCCTCATTCCTGTCATCTTTTCTACCCTCTCTTTCCAGGTACTAGCAACTGTCAAGAATTACAGATGAGGGGCTAGGATTGTGGCTCAGTGGTAGAGCGCTTGCCTAGCACATGTGAGGCACTGGGTTTGATCCTCAACACCACATAAAAATAAGTAAAATAAAGGTATTGTGTCCATCTATAGCTTTAAAAAAATAGAATTACAGATGATTGTTCTGAGATATTGTTTTCAAAATTAACACAACTTAATGTGAATTTAAATTTGCTTTTGGAATTACCCTTCCTTCCTCCACAATTAAGTCCAAGTATATTTGTACTGTGTGATATTAAAGGACTTTTCTAGTGACTAGGAGGAACTGAACCAAGAAATTTATTTAAAAGGTGGAGAGGATCTAGGTAGAATATATCATCCCAAGCCATTTGTTTTCCTTCAGGTGATCAAGCTCTTCCAAAATAGGAAGGCTGCTGATTGCTAGATGTGTTCTGTGGATCCAGTCACTAGATGTGACCTGGTTCCACAGCCCAGCACCTTTGTGGGGGGCCTAGCTTGTGACGATACATGCCAACCTGGAAAGAGGCAGAGAGGGCACTGTCTCCCTTCATCCTTCCAGCAGCCCAGGCCTGTCTTGCTGACCCAGCTGGAGGAGGGGCTCCCTTGGCTGGTGCTTAGACCAGAATCTGGTGTCTTGAGCCAAGAATGGGAAGCAGGATGGACTCCAGAGTGGCAGTAGCTCTGTCCAAGAAAACTGGACAAGCATGCTTACCGACACAAGAAAAGACTCCCAGCTAGGAGATAACATTGACAGTATGGAGAACATCATTGCCTAATAGAAATATCCTGTTCCCGCACAAGAGAAGGACTACTTCCAATCCCAGACTACATATGTCACAATTGGTTTTGACCCTCAGTAGCTTTTATACTCAGAAAATACTAAAGTCACTCCTTTCATATTTGGGTCATTTGAAAAGCCCCTCTTACTCCAGGTTCCTGCTAACTATGCACAACATCTCAGACGATGGCATACAAAACTATTTTTCTAA